TATCAAATATGATACAAAACATAAAAAACATTTGCAAAAAAAATATATATTATAATTTTTTTTTTAATTTTGTCTAAAGGTGCAATAAACTGTTCAATTTCATTTCACTATTTCAAGGGTTAAAGGGATAGTTCAGCCAAAAATTCTGTCATAATTTAATCAACTTATTTACAATTAATGGCCCCAACTGTCTTCCATGTTTTCCCCCCATACTGTGGAAGTCAATAGTGACCATCAACTGTTGTTTACCCAAATTCTTTAAAACCTCTTCTTTTGTGTTCAGCAGAGGAAAGAAACTCATACAGGTTTGGAACAAGTGGAGGGTGAGTACATGATTACACAATTTTCATTTTTGGGTGAAGTTGATCCCTTTAAACTTCTGCATTGTACATCGGGCATTTACCTGCATCCTCTGAGGCATGTGTGCCAGGAGTGATGTGAACGTCAATCTAACAACAAAAAGAAAATAACAAATGACTTGGATGGGAATCCCATATTCAAGTCAAGTCACCTTTGTTTATATAGTGCCTTATACAATACAGATTGTGTCAAAGCAGCTTTACAGTAAGCCTAATGTAAGCTTAAATGTGTTTGGCTGCTCACTAAACTTACCTTAAATCTGTCAGGAAGGGAGCGCAGAAGCTTGACTTTGATGGACAGGCCAATGAGTGTGGCCATACTGCAGTGTGGGATGGTCGGTGTGAACTCCACAGACACCATGCTCTCCTGATCATTCACCTACTCGGGGAGAAAAACATGATAGACAGATAGACAGATAAACAGACAGATAGTCGCAGATCAGACTCACATTGACGCGCATTTGTTCCACGACATTCAGCTCTTCGAGGGACAGTGGGTGCTCAGGGTCATTGATCGATCTGATCAGATGTATTCATTTAGTTAAGGTCTGACTCAAAATATTCAAAATGCATTAAATTAGTTTTCTGAACTAACGCAGTTTGTAAGTGTATCTGTCATTATCGCAGATAATTAACAACAACAAGGCTGACATGTCAAAGTAGCAGTGTAGCTAAAGCCAAGTTTCGTGCTTTGAAAAGATATCGAAGATCTCCCTGTCATCGATGGGATCCGCTACATCCTCATCTTCATCAGTGGCAGTGAGGCGTCTTTCCCCCGATCGCTGAAATATCAGAGGATTGGCGTTTTCTAGGCGAGTTCCCCCCGACATTATTATCAAATTATTATACAACTAACACAATACGACCAATACACTACTGTTAGATAAGGTTGCCAACTCTGCGAAGTCGAAAACAAGCTAGCCGGAAGTCAAGCTAAATAACGGAAACAGTATCCACTTTTTTCTTTTCAAAATAAAAGTTTTATTTATAAAAGTTAGATACAATGTTAATTTAAACGGCACAAATAATAATAATAATAATAATAAT